GGCTCGAGGAGGCCGCGAGGGCGGCGCGAAAGGGCCGCGAGGGCGGCGCGAAAGGGCCGCGAGGGCGGCGCGACGCGACGGGACCGCGAGGGCGGCGCGACGGGGTCGCAAGGGCGACGCGACGGGGCCGCTAGGGAGGCGCGACGCGACGGGGCCGCTGAGGCGGCGCGACGGGGTCGTAAGGGCGGCGCGACGGGGCCGTGAGAGGGGAGCGCGACTCGGGCAGAGGCTGAGCGCGCTCCGGGCAGGAAAAAAAAAGTTGGTGGGCCCTAGGAACAGTTCCCACAGGGGAACCTGCTCTATACCATGTGAAAATGAACGAGGAATGAAAAGACTAAGGGAAAGTTGGGTACAAGTACAAACCCTAGAAAGCTGTACCCCATATGTGCTACCCCACTATAGCCTACAGCAGCTAAGTCATATAAATCTGACATCTGACACGTTAAACGTGCCATGTCGGGTACGAACCGGCGCACGTAATTAACAAAACCCAAAAAACTCTGCAGTTCCGTGATGTTCGTCGGGGGGTGCCACGCTTTGACCTTGTCCAATTTTTTTGGGTCGATTTCTACGCCAGCCTCCGAAATAACGTGCCCCAAAAACTCTAGCCTGTCCTGAAAAAACTCGCACTTGGAACCCTTTGTCAGTAGTCTGTGTTTGTCTAGAACTGTAAATACTGCTTCTAAATCTTCTAAGTGCTGTTGCTTATCCCGACTGTAGACTAGGATGTCGTCGAGGTAGATGATGACGCATTTATCTAAGAGCGGCCTAAACGCCTCGTTCATCGTCATCTGGAAAGTCGCCGGTGCGTTGGTCAGCCCGAAAGGCATTACCGTGTATTCGAACGACCCGTACCTAGTCTTGAAAGTTGTCTTGGCGCAGTCCGACGGTTCGACCCTAATCTGGTGGTAACCTCCTCGTAAGTCAATTTTCGAGAAAAGACTGGTGCTGTTCGCAGTTGGTCTATCAGCTCGTCGGCGCGGGGAATGGGGTATCATGATTTAACTGTAACCCTATTCAGTGCTCGGTAGTCGATACACATGCGAAAACCGCCGTCCTTCTTCGGTGTGAACAGGATCGGTGCGGCGAATGGGGACGAGCTCGGTCGGATGAATTTTTTCTCTAACAGGTAATCTAACTGCTTCCTTAGCTCGTCGAGCTCGGGATGTGTCAGACTGAACTGTCGCTGTACGGTTGGCTGTGCCCCGGGCTCTAATTCTATTCGGTGATCATGCGCCCGCTGAGGTGGCAGTCCCTCGGGTAAGTCATCGGGGAAGATCCTCGGGAATCGTTTCAACAGGTCCTGTAGTTCCGATGGTACTGCTTTCAGTAGTTTCTGAAAATCACTTGGTTTGTCCGCTTCTTCCACTATCGCGATATCCACCGCATACACGTCAGCTCCAGCGGCGACAGCCCGTTTCATCGTGATGGCGTTGACGTGGACCGTTGAAGACTCAGGCGACTGCCAGCGAGGTAGCTCTACCCAGTTACCGCTACGTCGCACAGTGCAGCTGCCTGTCGTCCAGTCGATTCGCGGGTTGTATCGTCGCAGCCAATCACGTCCCAGTAAAATGTCGTGCCCACCCAATGTCGTCGCGAGCATTTCCTGTGTAAAACCGAAATTCCCCCCACATCGGACTTTTACTCTTTCCACTTTCTCCCATATGGCCAGCGGCGTTCCGCCATACTTCTGTGAAGATAAGCAGTAGAAGAAGGCGCCATAGCTAGGAAAGCCCTAGCTAGGCAAGAAACAGTTTAGGCAAAGAGGGGGTTCACTAGCAGGAATGAGGATACAAATAGCAAACCCTAGAAGGGTTGTACTCGCTATAGAGCACCCCACTACAGGCTAGAGCATAACATTCTGACACACCCCCATAGCCAAAGTGGGGTGTAATCAGCAGAGCAAGCAAAGCAGAACAAGCTCAGGGTGGATCACAATGTCACCACACATTCTGAGCACAAGTACAAGAAGCAATAGTTTAAAGTTCACAATTATGAGCAAAGCTAGAGGCTATCGCAGAGGGCAAGTGAGGAGGAGGAGGCGAGACTGTAAGAGGAGAGGAGATAGGAGGCGACGACTGAAGCTGCAGACACACGGGCAACAGGAGGCACACTGGCACAGCGGCTACCGGAACAGCGCTCCGGACTACTGGAGTAACTGGCCCCGCGGCTAAAAGTAGCGGCAGACGAGCAACGGACCCACGGGCGACTGGCACAGGTGGCTGCGACTGGGCTACCGGAGCAACTCCCCGGACTACAGGTGCTGCTGGCGACACGACGGCAACCTTCGTTCAACCTCCCCAAACAGTCCCACCCCCCCTGACACACACCCCCTGCTTCACCCCTAGCTCCACTCCCCCTTCACCCCCCTTAGTACCACTCCGACGGCTCCAACAGGTCCACCCCCCTCAGCGGCAGCTGCAGCACTGGGAGACGGAGGAGGAGGAGGAGCAGGGGACGGCACACAGAAGCTGCACCCCCATGCCCCCCACCCCCAAACCCTAATTCAGGAGAACGGGCAGTAGCAGGGGTGGGGCGCCATCAGAAGCACGGGGGACAGCGGGCAGCGCAGGGGCAGCGAAGAACGGGCCGCCCACGGGCCTGGCACAGCCGCCCGAACCGCGCGCAGGCGGCCCGAGCCGCGCGCGGGCCTGGCGCAGCCCGTACGGGCCGCGCGCGGGCCTGGCGCAGCCCGTACTGGCCGCGCGCGGGCCTGGCGCAGCCCGTACGGGCCGCGCGCAGGCTGTACGGGCCGCGCACAGGCCACGATGGGTGACGGGGGGCGACGCGCGGGTCCCCGTCGCCCGTCGCAGCGCCTCCCGGGAGCGACGCGCTGCATGACGGGGCAGAAACCCGCCGCGCGCCTCGGGGCGCACGGCGGGCAGAGAACCGGGGCGTGCAACACAGAGAGTAGCAGTAGCAGCGGAAGCAGTGAGGTGGGGCCCACAGGCCAGGAGCATATCGCTCTGATACCATGTGAAGATAAGCAGTAGAAGAAGGCGCCATAGCTAGGAAAGCCCTAGCTAGGCAAGAAACAGTTTAGGCAAAGAGGGGGTTCACTAGCAGGAATGAGGATACAAATAGCAAACCCTAGAAGGGTTGTACTCGCTATAGAGCACCCCACTACAGGCTAGAGCATAACATTCTGACAACTTCTACTGACTGCTGGCGTTTCCCGGCCTCTGAGACTCTCGCCCCTGCTCTGTTCCGCGGCGCCTCAGCTCCTCTGGGCATTCACTCTTGCGATGGCCCGGCCTATTGCAAGCAAAGCAGCGCCCCTTAAATGGTGCGGCAGCTGCATTCGTCGCAACGGCGTGTACGGTGGCGTGCTCAATCGGTCCCCGAGGACGTTGTCCGTAGTAGGACCCCGGTCTCGGTCGTCGTAGGATGTCGATTTTCTCGGCGAGCGCGAGGATCTCGTTGAAATTCGAGAGCCCGCGTAGCATAATTTCGTGCGATATGTCCGGCTTTAGCCCTCCGACATAACGGTCCACCCGCTCCGCTTCGTGCATATAGCCGACTTGTTCACATAGTGCGAGAAAGCCGCTAGTGTAATCTTGAACCGACCCGAGCTGCCGCCAAGTGCGCAGTTTCTGACGCGCCGAAATCGAAGCCGCGATCGGCTCGAAACGCGCCCGAAGCCCTGCGCACCACGCATCCCACGTGCTGTACTGGGCTGTCTCGCAGAATGAACTCCAGGTGACGGCTGGGCCCGTGGGCCCGTCTTCTTGCGACGGTGGCTCGTAGGCGCGTGGCGACGTCACGATGACTCGCCACCAGTCCATGGCAGGGCCCCTCAGCAGCGAAATAGCGTAGCGAAACTTCGCTGCGTCCGACTCGACGTAATTGGCGTCGAAAAGCGCATTCATCGTGAAGACCCACGACTGAACCGTCGGACCCCCACGTTGGCTTGGGTCGAAACAGGGCGGACGCTGTGGCTTGAGTGGCATGGGTGCCGTGACGGCATATTCGCCACTTGTCGCCGCAAATTCCACATGCCGACGGGACTCGCGGGGCTCCCGTGGGCTTGATGCGGTCCTGTTCCTTTCCATGCCAGGCATCGAGTGAGCGGCGCCTTCACTGGCTGCGCCTGAGCGCTGTCCCACGCTGTCATTCTATGTCGGTGTGCCGGAGGAGATGACAATCGGCTCCTCCGAATGTGTAGGTGCATGTGTTGGTGCTGGCGCGTTCACCGTCGATTGTTGGCGGGCGGAGTCACGCTCCGCCGTGAGTGTGGCGATTACAAGCGCCGATTCTTCGAGTTGGCGCATGAGTCGATCTAGTTGCTCCTGCGTCAGTGTCGCGGCATTGAGTTCTGCCATGGCGGGGGTGTCGGGCAAGCTCAGCGAGAGCCTCTGTCGTGGCCGTGCGTGCTTACGAGAGAGCACTACGAGCGGCGGTGCTTGATCGCTGAGAGACGTCTACCCCCCCGAAAAAAATGGATAGTGGGGAAACGAAGGTGTGGGTGCGGTCCGAGAGAAGATCGTAGGCTCTGATAACCAAGTGTTACGAGTGCAATTGAGTGAGCGAGCGAGGATTGCACTATTGAGACAAGAATACAATGAGCGAAGGAATGAGCGAAGAATATATAGCGAAACTACGGTGGTAACGGTAACGTGGAAAAATGGGGTGCGCGACGGGCCTAGTGCCGAGGTTTGGGGAACTGTCGAGGCGGAGGTCCGGAGCGCGGGTTACCAGCCGAACCGTGAGGTTGGGTCGCATCGTGAACAGTGGCGGGAATGTTGTCGAGGCGAATGTCGCGAGTGGTAACGGAATATTGTGGGGTGCTGTCAGTGTTGTACGCGCTGAGCAGGGACGCGAAGCAAGGAAAAAGAAATTTCCTTACAGTGTACAAATATTTTCTCGAGGTACAAGGCCTTCACTACAAGAAGCTAAATTAGGTATTTCATTACAATACAAGGCTTTTATTCCCATATAAAATATGATGGTCAACAGTGGCTGGAACAAATTCTTGGATTCTTATCAGAAGCTTAAGAGCACTATCTTCTCGTAGTGGTGGTCGTTGACTTCGGTTTAGCCTTCACTTCGCTTTCCTGTGAAACAAAACGAAGGGACAAAGGGACAAAGAAAGGTGGATCTCAAAAGTGAATACAGTCGGGTACACATCACACTAACACATTCTCGCCCAAGAGTGCCCGCTTAGAAAAAGGAAGTGAGTGTGCATTTGGTGTAATAGTAAATAGCAAGGGGATACCGTACCTGGGTTGCGTGGAGGAGAATGTAGTTCTTGTTGACTGCAGGGTTGTGGTTCTCGGCCCCTTTGCTCCAGTCATAGCTCACAGCATATCCAAAGATGGTGCCGTCGTGGTTGAATGCGCTGCAAGAGATGGGCAGGCTGCAGCGCTGCATGGCCTGGTGGGGTTGAAGGGGTGGTGCAGCGCAGTGGAATACAAAGGGAGGGACAAGGGAGGTGAATCCAGGGCAGGCAGTTTGCTGCGCGTGGTGGGGTTGGAACAGCGGATGTACTCAGCGGAATTTGTGGGGAAGGCACATTCACTGCCTAATGCCATGCACTGCCTGATGCCATGCACTGCCTGATGCCATGCATGGATGGCGCGGATGCCGAAAGAGGGAGAGGGTCAGGGAGAAATGGATGCAACGCAGATGGCATTGGTGCACGGTCCGACAGCACGCACACATGCATACAGTAGTAAAGGAATGGGCTTCAAATCCCAAAGGAGTTGCAGAATAAATATGAAGGAATATGACAGCATGAGTGCCTTCATTCTCAGTACCTTCATGCTTTCCCATTCTTAGTGACGTTCCATCCACGGCTCACCAGCAGTGACGTACCTTGAGGCGCTGCTTGCTGTCCTTGTCCCAGGAGTCGACTTTTGAGTACACTCTAACGTGAAGGGTTAAAACACTAGTGCAGATCCTGTTTACCACAGCAGTGACGTACCTTGAGGCGCTGCTTGCTGTCCTTGTCCCAGGTGTCGACTTTTGAGTACACTCTAACGTGAAGGGTTAAAACACTAGTGCAGATCCTGTTTACCACAGCAGTGACGTACCTTGAGGCGCTGCTTGCTGTCCTTGTCCCAGAAATTGTATGCCCCATCAGAACCCGTCGTTGCGAACGTGCCGAATTGCTGCATGCAGGGCAGCAGGCGGGGTGGAAAGGGGAGGACACGGCAAGGGGGAGGATGATTAGCGAGAATGGAGAGACTGGGGCAGCTGAGGGAGATGGACAAGGGGACGAGTCAACCAGGCATACATTACGAGGAAAATGTCAATGCAAGTCAACCAGGCGCACCTGACAGGGCACAAGTCAACGCAAGTCAACCAGGCATGCACCTTACCAGGCGGAAGTCAAGAGCATTGATAGCACAGATGTGTTCAAGTCAACACAAGTCAACGCAAGTCAACACAGGTCAACGCAACTCAACCAGGCAGTCACCGGGTGGAAATCAATGGAGTTGGCAGCATAGACATCGTTTCCATCCCGATGGCACTTAAAAGGTGAAGTTCTTCTGCTGCTGGTTCTCTTCTCCTCTCACGGCCACACACAGCCCAACAGCACACGGACCATCCCACCAGACCAGGTAAACGTCAACACAAGTCAACGCAAGTCAACCAGGCAGTCGTCTCACGCACCGGGTGGAAGTCAATGGAGTTAACCGCGTAGATGTCATTCCCATCCCGGTGGCACTTGAAGGTGAAGTTCTTCTGCTGCTGGTTCTCCTCCACGTGCTGCACGGCCACGCGCCCCTCTATTGACCCCACCAGGTACCCACTCCTGTCGGGGAAGGTCGCCACACAGCGCGTCTGGTACTTGAGGGGCGAGATCACCCGCTTGTACTCCGTCTGGTGGTGTGGGGTGGGGAGGTGGGGTCCGTGGGGAGAGAGAGAGAGACGGAGAGGATCAGGGGACCAGGCTGATGCTGCATTGAGTGCTGCTCTTGCGGGGGAAGGGGAGGAAAGGAAGCGTTGGAAGGGGGGAGGGGCGGAGGAAGGGGAGGGAAGGGAAGGGGCTGCTGGTTTTCCTCCACGTGCTGCACAGCCACGCGCCCCTCTATGGACCCCACCAAGTACCCACTGCGGTCAGGGAAGGTCGGCACGCAGCGTGTCTGGTACTTGAGGGGCGAGATCACCTGCGAGATCATTTGCGAGATCACCTGCGAGATCACCTGCGGCGAGGCCAGGTTGTACACAATGATGTGGCGGTCAGCAGTGGCCACCAACCACCATGAGGGGGTGCTTCTAGAACACCCACACGCTTCCTCCATCGTCTCACCTGCGGGGATGCCAGGTTGTACACGATGATGTGGCGGTCAGCAGTGGCCACCACCATGAGAGGATGCCGCACACTCAGCGCGTACGGCCGCTCGGGTAGTGCCTGTGTGTGGGCGGGGGTGGCCTGGCGCGCGTCCCAGTACCTGATGGCAGAGGTGGGCAGGGGGGGGGGAGGAGGGGGGTGTGCGGGACGTATGCATCAACGGTAGCCACCACCATGAGGGGGTGTCGCACACTCAGCCCGTACGGCTGCTCGGGCAGCGCCGGTGTGTGCGCGGGGGTGGCCTGACGCGTGTCCCAGTACCTAATTGATGGCAGGGGAGGGAGGAGGGGGGGAGCGGGGAGGTGGGGAGGGGCGGGACACAAGAGACTTGTGAGTCAACCCTGATGGCAGTTTGTGCCTGTGCGTGGGCGGGGGTAGCCTGACGCGTGCCCCAGTACCTGATAGTGGACGATGGCGGTGGTGAAGTGGCGGGGGGAAGTAACAATGTGAAACATGGATTGAATTAGACTGCCCCCCCAATCACGTTACCACCTATTCCCATCGAGGCCTTGTCACTCACTTGATCGTACTCTCCGAACTCACACCTTGTTGCTTGTCACGCTCTTTGACATCTGAACGAGATGGCTTTTGAGTCAACTCAAAAATCCCCATCCAAGCCTCACTTGATCGTCCTCTCCAAACTCACATCACACCTTGTTGCTTGCTTGTCACGCTCTTTGACATCTGAACCCCCTCACTCACATGATAGTCTTATCCCGGCTGGCGGTGACGAGCAGGCTCACGCCATTTTGATCACCTATGCCCATCTGACGCATTTCCAAACCAACCCTCTCACTCACTTGATCGTCTTGTCCCGGCTGGCGGTGAGGAGCAGGCTCATCTCAGCAATCCACACCATCTTGCTGATGTGTGCATCGTGCACGCCCACCGTGCTCTCAATCACCTATCCCCATCTAAGCCCTCTCACACACTTAATCGTCTTGTCCCAGCTGGCGGTGACGAGCAGGCTCATCTCAGCAATCCACGCCATTTTGCAGATAGGAGCATCGTGCACGCCCACTGTGCTCGCCGCTCCCCCAGACATGAGCGGCCACATCTTGGCCTGCTTGTCACAGCCGCCTGAGAACACGGTCGTGCCATCGTCCTTCCACGCTGAGCAGAGCACCTGAGAGAAAGGACGAGAAAGGGGAGAGCGGAGGAGCATTGATGCTGACGTCAGGGGCCAAATCAGGAGAGCGGAGGAGCATAGAACATGAGCGGCCACATCTTGGCCTGCTTGTCGCAGCCCCCTGAGAACACTGTCGTGCCATCATCCTTCCATGCTGAACAGAGCACCTGAGCGGGGGAGGAGGGGAGAAGAGTGGAGAGAGGAGAGCGAGCGGAGAGCAAGACACAGAAAGTGGAGGAGAAAGAAGCACAGTTGAAAGGATACGGAAACCAGGGTGGGATCAAGCCTTGCAGAGAGCGGAGAGGGCTGTGAAGAATGGGATGGATGGCACTCACAGGTTGATCATGTGCTGTTCCTGCCTTGGGCACGCTAGCTCCGTTGCCCTGGATCTCCCAGCACCGCACCTGGTGGGGGCAGAGGCGAGAGGAGATGGAGGAGCGGAGAGAAGGCTATGAGTGGGATGATGAGGGAGGGAAGGGGCGAAGGGAAGATTTGGGCACGCTGGCTCCATTGCCCTGGATCTCCCAGCACCGCACCTGGTGGGGGGGGGAGGAAAAGAGGGTATACCCGAGTGGAGACAAGGAGTGGGATGATGAGGGGGGGCAGGGAAGACTTGGGCACGCTGGCTCCGTTGCCCTGGATCTCCCAGCACCGCACCTGGTGGCGGGCGGCAAGGAGACGAGGAGATGGAGGAGAGTGGAGAGAGAGAGGGAAGAAAGGGGAGACGGGAAGCCAAGGGCGCGCTGGCTCTATTGCCCTGAAATTCCCGGTCGCAAATTTTGGTGGCATGGAGGCGATGAGATGGAGGTTTTGAGTGGCGATAAGGAGTGGGATTATGACGGAAGAGAGGGGAGAAGGAAAGCCGTGGCCACACTGGCTACATTGAACTGGATCTCTTAGCACCGCACCGCACCTCACTTGGTGGTGACAGGGAGGGTATGGGAGTGAGGAGAGGATGGACAAGGGTTGTTGTGGGTGTGAGGACGCTTGTTCAAACGTAACACACGACAGCAAACCAGCTCACATTGTTACCCCAACCAGGTAACACACGAGGAACACCTGGTTACCATAAGACAGTAGCATGGCAGCGACACGTCACCTGGTTGTCCCATGACGTGGCAACGAGGAAGTTGGCCTTGGGGTTGAAGCACATGCTGGAGATGCCATCATTGGGGGGTTGGGCCACCTGCAGACACGTGAATGGCACACGCCAGGCATGGACAGGCACACGCCAGGCACAGGACAAGCACACGTCAGGCACGGGACAAGCACACGTCAGGCACGGGACAAGCACACGTCAGACACGGGACAAGCACACGTCAGGCACGGGACAAGCACACGTCAGGCATGGGACAGGCATGGATGAGGCACATCAGACAGGTAGGGAGTGAAATTCAAAACTATATTCCAGATGGCCAATACCAAACAACCACGGGAGGATGCGAGGGAAAGATGAGAGGGGGGAGATGACAGGGGGAAGCTGACAGGGGGAAGATGACATGACAGGGGTAGATGACCTGGGGACATGACAGGGGAAGATGGTGAAAAGCATGGGCAACAGGGAAGAAATCAGGCCCGTGTCACACCCAATCAACCGCCACATGCTTCATCCACGCTGGCAACGCCCCCAATCCCCTCTCAAATGCTGTAATCTTGACCCCCGGTGTTCGCCCTAGAATGAAACCCTAATCGAACGTCGCTCAGCGTGCGGGGTCGCGAGACTCGCTAGAGCGATCCGCCGGCGACGACGAGGCTTGTCGCGGCAAGGAGGCGACGGCCGCCTCGCGTACTGAGAGCAAGCAGACCCTAAACTTCAACGAGTTGAACGATAAAGTGCAATGACCACAAGGAAGGGGTTCCTTGCTCGTTTGCGTGGAAACGGTACCTCGATATCCTTGTTGGGATTGTGCGGCTGCGTCGCTGTGACTGTTCCGAACGTCGCCATAACGAGGTTTCAGGGCTGGCTGGCGGCCGGACGGCAGGCAGCAGTGAGTATCAACGCGGTGACTTTTCTAATTCGGCTAAAATTTTGAACTTTTGCGCGATGGCAGCTGGCACTCAGGGATCAGCGAATGATGGGAGTGGTGCGAAGGAGCATGGGCCTTGATCGAGGCCAGTAAATAGACTAGTTGAATTTTGAAACGTCTTAGAGCTTAGGTCAGACAACTGGAGGACTTGGGTCCCACTACGAAACGAGAATCAGCGTCACACGGAGCACCGAGGCTTGCGTGCACAGACCCGCGCACGAAACGAAACTGCGACACTTTCTTACTGAGTCTCCAGCAAGCCTGCAGCGAAGTGGCTGGTTGCGCACAGAGCAATAGGAGCACGCAAGCACTGAGGTAGTCAGTGGCTGGCAAACACAATTTGTCTGAATCCTGCACTGCATATCCTCCAACTACAATATATAATCCAGTGCTAAACGAAAGCGAATCTTTCAATAAGAGCAGTGCTGTTCACATGTTTTCCTCCTACTTTTCCCCACAACTATCCAGCAGACTAAGTACTGTCATGTGCTGCCGACACGGACGGATACTGTGTTGCCTCTCGAGTGCCAGCAGCATCAGTTTCCATCAGACGAGATCGCATCCTTGCCGCCCATTGCCGCCGGTCACGGTGTCTTGATTTATTCTCTCTCGTATTGTTCCCAGACGTGTATTGGCAACTGCTGAGGGCCTCGTATCTTTCGTCATAGAGCGATCATGTTGAGCGTAGTCGGCGGCGCCGCCGGTAACGGCGTCAAGGGTAACTCGCGAATAAACATGATTTACGTCTTTAATCGCAACGGCTGCATCTTCTACCGGGAATGGTACCGTCCGAACCCGCCAAACACGGACGATCACAAGCTCATGTTCGGGCTCGTCTTCTCCCTCCGCTCCTTCACCGCCAAAATGGATCCCGTCAAGTACGCTGATTCTCCGCTGCCACCCGGAAATGGATCTTATTCAACCCTCCGTTCGTCTGTCTACTGCTTCTTTGGTGTCACCCTGAATGTTATCTTCTTGAAAGCGCGAATCACTGTTTCTTCTGTACAACCGCAGATTAGGGCCCCTGCGTGCAATGCCTCCATGTCTCATCCCAGCAGTCTTACAATTAATTTCAGCTCCTACTACCGTATCCGAATGGCCAGATTATGTCAAGATCCCGGCTGTAACCACGTTCGCATTCCAGTCAGCATTCCTCCTCTGTCTTTCTCTCTTTTCATCCCCCACTCCGTTCGTCCCCCTTTCCATTATTTTCCTTGTGTGTGTTTGTTTACTTCAGTGGTGCATCAGGCGATGGCTGCTCCTTCCATTCCTTCCGCACCAACACTTACAAGCTGAACTACCTTGAGACCCCCTCAGGCATTAAGGCAAGTTTTGTAATGCCATGCACTCTCCAATGCTATGCATTCTCTTATAGACTTCAGTGTTTATGGTGGCTCTTAATCTCCTCTTGTTTTTTTACTCAAGGGTCCTGCCACTTTCACTAACTGGAATTGTTTCTTTACTTGCCAAGTCTGTTATGGTCTGTCTTTGTCTATGGTTTGTGAACTGCAGATAATACTAGTAACTGATCCGAAGATGAGCGACCTTCGGGATGCTTTGAAGCACATATACACCAACATATACGTTGAATACGTCATTAAGAACCCTCTTTATGTGCCAGGCGAACCTTTCAGGTATGTCAGGGAGCAGAATGAAGAGGGTGTTGGATGGGGGATGCTGAGAAACTAAGAAAGTAAATCTGCGCACACTAGTGCATGCATGATGACACATCAAGCGTGGGGTCTCTAAATTTGCTCGAACTAAAAAAATTGTGATCAATGTCCGCCTCCAACGTACCACTCCCATAAGGGCCGTAGGAGGGATGGAGAAGGAAGAAGGTAGTGAATAGGGAACAGGGTCGAGAAAAGAACATGCAGATGGGTGAGGTGATGGATGAGATATCCCCAACATGGCCCAGTGTGGGTGGGTGGGTGGTTGCTGCTGTGTTATGTTTCATTCAGTTTTTTTGCTGTGTAATCCATCTTGAGAGGTAGAGAGATACGCCGGCCATACTAATCGTTGGCTCCCCTTTGCTCCTCCCCTTTGTTTATGATCTTGTTCGTTCACTTGTACAGATGCGAGTTGTTCATAAGTAGTTTGGACTCTTATGTGACAACACTATCTTAGGCAACATCGTAATGTAAATATACTCTTTTCCCTCTCATTCTTTCAAACAGGGTAAAGTGCAGTTACCATAAGGGATATTTCAGATTACCATCTGAGGTGTTGTTCCGTTGAATAAAGGCCTTTATAACTGACTTGAAATTATAAATTGGGTGTAGCGCTGATGTGGCCTTGTCAGCAAACAGGCGGTTCGGGCCGCAAGGGCGGCGGCTTTGACGAAATGTCAGTGTCCCGCGCAATTCGGTTGGGCCAACGGCTAGCAGAAGTACCTGACCTTGACCCGAACCGCCGGTGTTTCCTCCCCTCACACCACCACCTTGGCTGGGGGATGTCCCTATCAGCCGAGCACAGGATGGTTGACAGGAGGGACTCCATGAAGCAAGGCGGAATCATGTGAGACATCCAGGATTCAACAGAAACGAATGCGCAGTCTTACCACAAAGGAGTTTTGCGAGTCTTCCCACAATTTGAATAACGTTTTTTCCCCTGGTTTGTTGCCACTGACTCTTCAGACCCTCGCAGACTCATAGGAGCAGGAGTTGGTGTACTCCCACGAAACCAGCGATGCCATAGTCGTGGCTTGTAATCTGTTCAGATTCGAGCAGTCACTTGGAGAGGTAGTGCAGAAAACCGGTTACAGCTCGGTTGAGGCTTGACGAGCGCGACGTATTTAGCCTACCCTTGAACGTCCCTCTCCCTACGTCGTTTGAAGGGAGTGGTTAGCTGGCTCTCTGACGTAATTCGCAGTTAAACGTCGATTTGGTCGCAGTGTCAAACATCGCCAATCGATTGCAGAGATAGACATCAGTGTCTTACTTGACGTCAAAGCACGCTACGGCATAAAAAACGTGGGCAGGCTGAAAGATGGGGTTACTGTTGTCGAAGATCAGTCCTTTAGAGACTATCGAACATGTGAGTGAAAATCAATTCTAGTAATCTCTTGCTGTATTGCGCTACCTGTTGACAAATGGTTTTGCAGTAAACATTCAATTGCAGCAAAACATATCATTTGTTGAGTGTCGTAACTCAATCAGCATCCGCTCGTTCCCTCTTTCCGCTCTCTCGCCCATTTTTCGTGTGACGTTCTCTCTTCAGGCGAAGAAGCATCGAGCAGAGCCAGTGGTGCTGTCGGTATTGAGAGAGAACCTCGGGTAAGCCGCCAACCGTCCAGTTCCTTCAACCACTCCTTTCGTGCACAGTCCTACTGGTCAGGTTTCAATCATTGTAACAGACACTAACATTTATAACCCTTCGTCTCGCTGTTTCCTGTTCTTCCTGTTTAACGCCCTCAGCAATGCGCACAACTCGGTCACTCTCTTCCCAGCGCGCGACGCCATGAGCCATGACCGCCTTGTGTACTCGGGCGACCTGTCAGCCGAAGACTTCAGAGCTGTTAAACAGGTGAGGGGACAATCTTCAAAGCCGGTAAACGTGTGAGATAAGGAACTTCACGTTTAGCCGATGAGGAATCTACGTACAGGAGAGACGTCGCATGCGTCAAGTGGGTGAGGAATAGACAACCGGAATGCAGAGTCGGGAAGGCGAGAGGGACGAACCGACCCCACGGCGTTAAACATATGAAGAAAGAGACTCGAGAGCCATCGGGCAGGTGAGGAAGCGACGTAAGGAAAGACCTCAGACCCGTCAAGTATTTGAAGGGAAATCAAGGGGGGAGACTCTATGACCCGTAAGCAGGTTGGGGAAAGGCGAAAGGGACGACTTAATGGCTGCTGGCCGGGTTAAGAGAGTGCAATGGTGAAAATACATGGACGGATGTAAGAGCCGACTTTGCTTCACGCCGCCGAGAACAACCATGTGCTCGGTTTTACGATACCTATTCCATCTTCAATGGGTATAAGTTATTTATTTGTTTCCGTGATCGCTTTTGGCTGCAGATTCGGCCGCTCTTACGCCTGGAGTACCTCCGAGGTCAAAACGCGGCGAACATCAGGGTGCGTGTTTCCTGTGGATGTGGATGTGGTAGTCTTGCCCTTCTGTTCCTTCCTCTTCTGTGATCGTCAATAGCCAAGGTGGCTGATGGAATGATTTTCTCTGGTGATCCTTGTCTAATCGCAACACAAGATTCACCGTGCTATTTACTCAGCTGTTTGCTTGCCTCTCGACGGCCCCATCTCAACAACATCTCACTGTTCAATGTTGCCTGACTGTGCTCTTGCCATTGTATTGCTCCTCTTGCCTCGGAATTCAGCACGGCTTGACGGGAGAGGTTCTTATGATGGTGGTGACAGAGGCGAGTGACGGCGAGTGGAACCAAAGGCCAGGATTGAGTTTCAGGTGTGGACCGGAGACTGAGGCTCGAGTGTACAGCAACGGCCTGCCAGTAGGAATCAACATCTGCAGCAACTACCTCGCAATCTCCCCGCCCCCGGTCCAGGTAGGCTTGCCATCGAAACACCCACAGTCTCCACGTTCAGTCAACCATGGTTGTCCTGGAATGCTGCATTTGAAGAATGCGCTATGTATGCCCTTGCCTTGTGTCTGACGTTTTGACACATTCGTCTTTGTGTGTGTGGATGAAATTCCTCCCATGCAGCAAGATGGGTCCAATTTCGACTTCGGTCCATCCATGGTGGAATTGGTGAAGACATGGGAGAACCGAGCTCTGGTGCTGTCGCACAGGGAGCCTGGTGGCTATCCTGGGGCTAAAGTCGCCGCTTTCACTAAAGTGGGGGGTCACCGAGTATCGGTCTTTCGATTGCTGGATAAGGGGGCGTTGGATCCAATCGTCGCGATTGCCCTTTCTTGGTTCAATGATGTCGAGACGACTTTGTGAGGACACGGCCACGTTGGCGAATGAGGGACGAGGTCGAGATTAGACGGGGATAATTATGCTACTAGCTAGTTCTTAGGAAATATAGTTTGCCTTAGGTCCTTTGCCCAAGGGCCACTCAAAATGATTTGCCAAGGTTTCGACCTCTTTTGTTTCTTGTAGATGCTTGGTGGGTAGTTTGGTATCCACTGAAATATGCACTCCCGTATTATTAGCGAATAAATGTATTAATGGGTCTTTCAAAACGGGTGCCATCCCAAATTTATGGCTCGGAACGATTTTTTTTCCCAAGTACTGGTAGTGTTGCCACAATAAATGCTAGTGCCGAAGACTGACAATGATCAGAGTACTTCAAGTGCTTTCTGAGTCTTACTAGTGGTGCAAACGAATGGTGCAAAAACGTTTATTTTCCGAGCCAGAAAGCAGCTTCGGCAACAAGAGACGCTCGTTGCTGCCGGGAATACTGAGCAGGCTCGACATATTTCGGGCTGGTGCCTCGGCGAATAATGGAGGCTGGAGGATCATCCATCGGGCTCAGCTATTCGCCGCTTCCAGTTGGGCCGCGGCTTTTGCGTCAGCGCAGCTGCAATTGTCCCTCACTCCCGCGCGAACAGGATGCGCAGATTTTTGCGCGAGGTACCTCCTGTGCGGGGGCAATTCTTGCAGGGGGGTGGGGGAGGAGGGAGCCATGGCATGGCATGATTGGGGGAGGGAGGGGGGTGGCTAAAAAAATATGTGTGCAGAGATTACGAGGAGAGAATTGCTCCAGTGCCTTGTTTGGTGATTCGCTCTTGCCCACGTGTCCCCGAATTGCTCGAGTGGCCATCGAATTCAGTGATAATTGCTCGAGTGGCCACGCCAGGGCATTTTAGAGGGGTTTTTTTTCTCTGGCACATTACCCTACCAGCATTTGTATCCCCGAAATTCCTCGTTCGCACAAGTCTCATCCCGCGGTAGTGATTCGTATTATTCCCCACCCGAAAATTTCGGGTGGTTGGCGGGCGCGAACGTGGCCCGACCAACAGTATATGCGCGGCCATTTTCGCCCCAGTGCGCGACCAATGAGCGCGCGGGCAAACAAATTCGTAACCAATAAGCGCTCGAGCATATAAATCCGCGATCATAAACCTCAATTGACCAGCATCAAACCGCAACAGTCCTAACGACCGCGCATGATTCGTCAATGATATGCTCGGTGCAATTGTTGGCATTACACGTCCAATCAGGTGCCATCATTAAGTATTGCGACCATATTTGACCGCGCAAATGAAACTCAATTTACTTTATGATCTCGCCAATCATATGCTAAAAACACTCGCACAAACATAAACTCTGGCCAATTAGGTTCAAATTAAAACGCTCAAACTCAGTTTGGTACGCCTGTATCATCTTCCCGCGCATTATGATTTGAAACATATGCTACAGATCGCTCACACCATTTCCTCGTTGTTTTAGGGTCATCTACCCTTGCCTTCGATTAGACCACTTAGGTCCTTACAGGAGGTTCTTCTATGAGCTTTCCGCCTTGAACGTTCCTATTAGCCGCAATGGGTTCGATGTCTTACACCTCTAACACAGAGTCCGACTCAGGCAATGAAGATACAGAGTTTTGCTTCGTTGGAACTGGAGAGCCCAAACAAAGTGATATGTACCGTGCGTTGCTCCGTGAAATGGTCGTCGACGAGGACCGCTCGCCACAAATTGTGATAGACGATCGAGCCTCGTTGTGTGAAGGTCAACTATACTCGTCTAAGCAATTTCTGTACGAAGCACTAGAAGACTATTCGGTAGCTTGCAACTTCGGATTTAGGGTTATGAGGAGTAGGCGAAACAGAGTCCACGCCATATGCATGAGTCAACATGAGCGTCTTAAACCAGCGTGCAGGTGGCGGTGTGAGTACTCCACTGACGGTGTGGGTGGGTTTTGGCGTGTTGACAAACTGTCCGCCCCATCATCTCATTGCTGCTCACCCGTTGATCGGGACCGCTACGTGAAGCATACAACAAATAAAGTGTCATATCTGCAACGTCATCATGGCAACCTTGTCCATGCTGCACCACATCACCCTCCCGGGACGTACAAGGATCAGATTGCGTCAACCGGTGGTCCGGATATCAATTATCACCAATCATGGCTGTACGTCTCGAAACATTATCTCCATATCGCTTCCATTGTCACATGCACATTCTTAAGCACACCATTCACCTTCTGTTTTCTCAACGTGCCTATCTTTTCTCGCACATCGTCATCTGTCATTGTAGGCTCAAGGAAAGGATGCTGAAGGAGCGCTTTGGAGATTGGAAAACTTCTTTCCGCTACATTCCTCGGGTATTGGAACGGTTCAGAGAGATTGACCCTGATTCAACGCTCGACCTTGTGACGAGGGATCACGCTTTCTTCCGGGCTTTTGCCGCCCCATCGGCATAAAAAACTGCTCTAAGGTTCTGCCGACCGGTCATTGGCATGGATGGTACGTTTCTCATTCGGGCGCAGCGGGCTACGCTCTTGGTTGCGGCTGCTAAAGATGGAAATAACCAGCTTGTTCCACTCGCTTTCGGTCTGTGCTGTTGAAATGTATTCATATACATTTATAAATGCCTACATTAGAGTTTAGTGTAGTTATATAGTCTCCTGCTTGGTGGTGCACCATTTGCCCATTTCCTTGACTATATCTTGTATGCCTTCTATTATTCACCCATTCTCCTTTTCAACTCTCTCGTCACTCTCGCCTAGGTCAAACCCTAGGCCCCTCAACTACTATTTTGATATGTGCAAGAGCGAGAATAAAGACAGTTGGAAGTGGTTTTGTGAGAAGTTGGTGACGCATTTTCCTTCGTGGCCGGCTACCCACGATGCCTCCCTTATCAGTGATCATGATAAAGGGTTAATACCGGCGGTTAAAGAAGCGTTCCCATCCCAGTTCACCCACTACTTTGGGAGCAGGCATTTGGAGCAGAATGTGCTGAAGTTTGGCCCTAATGCCTCTGAATTCTTCAAGAAGCTCGCAAACTGCCGCACGAAGCGGAAGTTTGGCAAACTCGTGAGGAGATGCCGAGCCGAGTGTGCTGCAATGGCGAACTACCTCTTTGGGGTCGAAGAGGCCCGTGTGCAGCAGACCCGTGGCGGACGGGGAGCCGACCAGCGTGCAAGGGAGCCAGAGGGCGGGGATGGGTTACGGAGCCGGACGGGTGCGGCACAACGAGCCAGAATGGCAAGGATGGAAGTGCGGCGGCAAAGGAGGAGTGGTCGCAGGGGAGACCAGCAGACACCATCTCGGCAGCCACCATCTCAGCAGCCACCATCTCAGCATCCACCAACTCAGCAGCCACCATATCAGCAGCCACCACTTCAGCAGCAACCATGCCAGCAGCCACCATCTCAGCAGCCACCATATCAGCAGCCACCACTTCATTAGCAACCATCCCAACAGCCATCATCTTAGCAGCAGCCATCTCAGCAGCCACCATCTCAGCAGCCCCATAGGGACCATAGGTACAGACCCATGCCAACTGCGAATCATACTCGTGACCGCCCTTGTGACCTACGGTCTCAATCTACGGCTGCCGACAACGTGCATCCATCTGATTATGTGACAGCTGTCAAACTTATATATGCTATAGTCTGTTTAGGCTGTAGTGGGGTAGTGCTTAGAGGGTACAACACTTTTGTGTTGTCTACTTGTACCCCACCTGTTTCCTAGTTCATTATTCATTCCTCAATTCTCTCACATGGTATAGAGCTAGTTTGATTTTTTTTTTTCCTAAGGGCCCACCACTAAAAATCTTTTTTTTCCTTACCTGCCCGGCGCGCGCGTCGCGCCTGCCCTTCGAGGCCCCTTCGCGGCCCGTAGCGGCCCCTTCACGGCCCGTCACGGCCCCTTCGCGGCCCGTAGCGGCCCCTTTGCGGCCCGTAGCGGCCCCTTTCCGGCCCGTTGCGGCCCCTTTGCGGCCCGTAGCGGCCCCTTCGCGGCCCGTAGCGGCCCCTTCCCTGACCTTGCTGCCTTTACCACAGTCGCTGACCTAGTTGCTCACCTTCGCACTAGTGACGCCCGCTACCGTGCTGCCCTTCCCACTGAGTTCTGTGCCAAGAACCCCCCCCCCATGTACATCACCCTTTACTACCTAGTCACCCGCCTCCCTGACTCACTTTCCTCAGTCAGGGATCACTTCCTCTCCCTTTGCCCCACCGAGCTGACTCTCGACCTGCTAGAGGAGTGCCTTACTGCAGCTGAGAAGAGTATCTTAGCTGTAGGTGCTTCTCGCGACGACCGTCGCACCCCTTTCTTTGAGGGGTGTTCCCCTGTCCCCCTTCTCCCCTCTGTTGCTTCTGCTGCTGCTGTCGACCTCGTTGGCACTGAGGAGGTCGGGGCTGCGTCTGCTCCGAGTGGGAGACGCCGCAACAGCAAGGGCAAGGGGAGCAGAGGTGGTGGAGGGGGCGGCGGGGGGGGTGGTGGCGGAGGAGGAGGGGGTGGCGGTGGCGGTGGGGGTGGCACCGGGAGTGGGGGCTTCAGTGGCGGCAGTGGAGGTGGTGGAGGCAGCGGCGGAGGTGGTGGAGGCAGCGGCAGCGGTGGTGGAGGTGGCGGCGGCGGTGGTGCTGGTCGAGGTGTAGCCGCGCAGCGTGGAGGCGCTGGTGGTAGCCAGCGTCAGCAGCAGCCGCGCTCCAGTGAGACCCCGTCGGTTCAGCAGCTTCGTGAGTGGTACGCTGGGCGTGGGAGGTCTGGGGGTGCAGGTCCCTGCGCTTACGTTCTTCGCACCGGCCCTCGTAGTGGGGAGGTGTGTGGGCTCCCACACACCATGCAGCGCTGCTTTGGTCGCTTGACTGACGCTTGGCGTACCCAGTTTCCTGACTCTGTTGAGCTCCCTCGCTGGCATGATCTGCTTCTGCAGAATGTGCCTATCTTTGATCTAGATTTTGATGCTATCCTTGCTGCCATGTATGCTCTTGCTGATATTACTGAGGGTGACTGTTACCTGAGTGTCCCGCCCGACCCTGGCACTGCGGCTGCTGCTCTAGGTGCTAGTGCGGCTGCTGCCCTAGGTGCTAGTGCGTCTGCTGCTCCAGGTGCTGGTACGTCTACTCTCTCTGGTACTGCACCTACTGAGGCCTTGCATACTTTCACACTTGACTCTGGTGCTTTCGCGCTCTTTCTTTAGAGACAGCACCATGCTCACGCCGCTCTGCCAGCCTGTTGCAGTCTCCCTTGCTGACCCCTCAGGGGGCCCAGTCCTTGCACGCTCCTCTACAGTTCTACCGTGTCCTGCGGCCCCGTCGGGCTTGCTGTCGGGACTCCACCTCCCCTCGTTCTCTACGAACTTGGTGAGTGGAGCTGACCTCCAGGACGCGTGGGTTGACCAGTTCACCCCTGGAGGTCAGCGTGTGACCCACTGCACTTGCTCTCGGACGGGCCGCCACCTGGCCACGTTCACCCGTCGGCCAGGGTCGAGTTTGTACACACTGACTACTGCGCCTCCTCCGGTCTCTGCGTCTGGTCAGGTAGCTGCGTCTAGTCAGGTGTTTGCTGCCGTGTCCAGGTCTAGTCCTGCGTCTGCCCCCTGCTCGTGTCGTCCTCTGTCGCACGAGACTCTCCTTTGGCACCACCGCCTTGGTCACCCCTCCCTGCCTCGTCTTCGAGGTATGGCCTCCCGTACCCTTGTCTCTGGTCTCCCCAGGTCCCTCCCTCCCCTTCCTCCGGGGCCTGCCCCCACCTGTGTTCCTTGTGTCGAGGGCCGGCAGCGCGCCGCCCCTCACTCCTCCTCGTTCCCTCCGACTGAGGCTCCTCTGCACACTCTTCACATGGACGTGTGGGGCCCAGCCCGCGTCCGTGGACAGGGTCACGAGCGTTACTTCCTGCTGGTCGTTGACGACTACTCGCGTTACACCACAGTCTTCCCCTTGCGCAGCAAGGGTGAGGTCCCTGAGGTGTTGATCGACTGGATCCGCGGTGCTCGTCGCGAGCTTAGTGAGAGTTTCGGCTCACACCTTCCTGTTCTGCGTCTGCACTCAGACAGAGGCGGGGAGTTTTCCTCCGACCTCCTTAGAGCCTTCTGTCGTTCTGAGGGCATCCGCCAGACGTTCACGCTTCCGGCCTCCCTGCAGCAAAATGGGATTGCTGAGCGCCGCATTGGCATGGTCATGGACGTCGCTCGTACGTCCATGATCCATGCGGCTGCTCCCCATTTTCTGTGGCCGTTCGCGGTTCAGTACGCAGCGCATCAGATCAACCTTCAGCCTCGTGTCTCCTTGCCGCAGACCACACCTACTCTGCGGTGGACGGGGAAGGTTGGCGATGCGTCCGTGTTTCGTGTCTGGGGATCTCGAGCTTTTGTCCGCGATACTACTGCGGACAAGCTGTCCTCCCGTGCCGTTCCCTGTGTCTTCCTTGGCTTCCCTCCTGACGCACCCGGGTGGCAGTTCTACCACCCCACCTCGCGTCGTGTTCTGTCCTCTCAGGACGTCACGTTTGACGAGTCGGTGTCGTACTACCGTCTCTTTCCCTACCGCACTGCCTCTCCCCCCCCCTCGCCGCTCTTCCTTGCCCCAGGTTCTCCCCCGGTAGACCCCCTCCCCCCCCAGGGTCCTGCCCCCTCAGGTGTGTCCCAGGTAGACCCTGCCGAGCCGGTCGAGGTAGATGTCGACTCAGGTGCTGAGTCTGGGGGTGCGGGGACTGGGGGTGCTGAGTCTGGGGGTGCTGAGTCTGGGCGTGCTGAGCCTGGGGATGCTGAGCCTGCGCGTGCTGCGTCTGGAGGTGCTCTTGGTGTCCCGCCGCGGCGGGAGCCTCTCTCTCCACAGCAGCTTCGTGAGTGGTAATCTCGGCTCTGTCGGGGTACTGCTGGGGCTTCTGGAGGTGCTGCTGGTGCTGGTGCTGCTGGAGGTGCTGCTGGTGCTAGAGGTGCTGCTGGGGCTTCTGGGGGTGCTGCTGGTGCTGGTGCTGCTGGAGTTGCTGCTGGTACTGGAGGTACTGCTGGTGCTGGGGGTGCTGCTGGAGCTTCTGGAGGTGCTGCTGGTGCTGGTGGTGCTGGAGGTGCTGCTGGAGGTGCTGCTGCTGCTGGAGCTGCTGGAGGTGCTAGCGCTACTGGAGGTGCTGCTGCTGCTGGAGGTGCTGGAGGTGCTGCTGGGACTGGAGACCCTGGGGCTGAGGGTACCGGTCCTGTTTCTGCTGTTTCTGGAGGCGCTGCGCGGCCGCGGCCGTACTACATTCCGCTCCTTCAGCAGGTTCTTAGCTCACCGCCTTCTCCTGGTCCTCCTCCTTTCCTGAGTCCGCCGCCTGTCCAGTCCCAGTCACAGTTGCAGCCGGCCTCTCCACTGCCCGGTCCTTACTCTGGACCGACTGGAGGTCTTACGGAGCGTCGTGAGCCTGAGTCTCGTCCTGTGTCGTCTGCGTCTCGTGCTGCGTCGCCTGTCCGTACTGTTCGCGCTGGTCGTGTTTCGCGTCCGCGTCTCCCTCCTGTCCCAGGCACTCACTCTATGACACTGCGTCCTTCTACTGCTCCACAGCGTGTCCCTCTGCCGTCTCCTCCTGCGTCCTCTCTTCCTGCCAGTCCGGACCCGGAGTCTGACTCCCTTCGTGCTGCTAGTCCAGCTGTCACGCGCTTTCTGGCCACTGCTGTCACTGACCCTCTGCTTGAGTCCTCTGCTGCGTCTGCTCTTGTTACTGAGCTTGTTGACTTTGCTGCTGCCTGTCGCCTAGACTACGCTGCTAGTCTGGTTGCTGCGTCTGTGTCTGTCTGTCCTCCGTCCGTCGGGGGTGAGTGTGCTCTTGGCACGGACGTTCTTGAGGACAGACAGGAGGAGTTTGAGTGCTTTGCTGCTTCTGTACCTCATCTCGTGTCCATGCTGCTGGCCCCTGAGGGAGACCCGGATGCACTCGACATCCCGACCCCGCGCTCTTACGCAGAGGCGATAGAGGGTCCCTACTCCTCTCAGTGGCAGGCAGCCATGGACGCAGAGATGGCTTCCTGGAAGTCCACAGGCACCTACGTAGACGAGTTTCCCCCACCTAGGGCGAACATCGTCAGTGGCATGTGGATCTTCAGGGTGAAGCGGCCGCGGGGTTCTCCGCCTGCCTTCAAGGTGCGTTACGTTGCACGTGGCTTCAGTCAGCGACAGGGAGTTGACTTCTTTCAGACCTTCTCCCCTACCCCAAAGATGACCACTCTTCGGGTACTGCTGCACGTTGCTGCTCAGCGTGACTACGAGCTCCACTCGCTTGACTTCAGCACAGCCTTCCTACAGGGCAGCCTGCACGAGGAGATCTGGCTGCGCCGCCCACCTGGCTTCACTGGGTCGTTTCCTGCTGGTACCCAGTGGAGCCTCCGGCGGCCAGTCTACGGTCTCCGCCAGGCGCCCCGTGAGTGGCACGACACGCTCAGGACGACTCTTGCTTCTCTTGGTTTTGCTCCTTCCACTGCTGACCCTTCTCTGTTTCTATGCACTG